CGCCGCGAGGCACTTGTTCAGCATTCAGAACATCCCAGCACATCTAGCACCAGCTGACGTTGCACCGCAGTGTGGCCTCGAACCCCCAAGCTCGCGAACGGAGGTACTGCAAACACCTTCAGGGTTCCTCATGTTCAAAGACCACTGCTCCATTAATGCTGCCTATACAAAATTCCCAATTCGTCAGAAGTCGACTGTCAGCGTCGTTGACGCCTCTACAGATGCTCGCAATGCCCAAATCCCGTGTGAAACGCAACCACGCACTACTCAGCCAACGGTCGCCCAGCTGTCCTCTGCCCATCACGCATCAACCCAATCGCCCATCAAACATAAAGCGGTGCCGCTGCTGCTGCGGACGCCACGCCTGGCTGAGTGCCGATAAGCCCCCCATCTCGTAGCCTGAGCTAGTGTAATAGCGAGCGTGGCTCCCGGCCACCGCCCGCACGGGACAACATGCAAGCCGCAGGTTTGTCTGTGCCATCCACAAAACGCCGTCACACCACACCAGACACTCACCCCTAACTTCGGCGCCGCAGATACAAGGCACGCATGTGCAACACTGCCTTGCTGCTTATGTCCACTGCACTACCAGCGCACGTAGGCCACCAATGCGATGAGTGCTCCTGAGCCTTCGCGCGCAAGCAAAACACACCTTCTGAGTCAACATGCGAATCCCGCCACCATAGCCCCGCCCTTTTCACCCCATCACATCCAACACCCAAACGGTACTAGCTTAGGCCCTTCGCGGCGCACCAAAGTGACGCTCTGTCCTGACGTTCACCGTCGGTAGAACTCATGTAGAACATTATCCCTCTGCAGAGCCACCGTCTCACGGACGCAAACGCTCATACACGGGGGGAAGGCTGGTGCGAGCCTCCACACACTCCAAAGCCCCACAAAACTCGACGGAATCTGCATCGCCACTCGCAAACACTGATACAGGAGAGATGCGCAGTTAAGCAAGCAAACACGCTCACTCCCCGACGAAAACGAAAGAATCCGTTGCGCGTAAGCTAGCGTTCGCTGCGCCTGGCCTGCCCACCTCTCCTCTACCTCCCAGACCCCACATCAGCCAGTCCCGCCACCACTGCGTACCCATCCAGCTGCGATCACCCCTAACACCCGCTCTACTGAAGAATCTACGACCTGTGCAGCTCTTTCCCTGCGAGGTGTCGTGAAGGGCAAGAAACACACAGCGCCATCGGCGACGCGCGTGTTACTGACACTCCAGCTCCCCTGCGCTGGACGGCGTGACGCGTGCTACTGACACCCCAGCAACCGTGCACTACTACACCCCTCCACCACGGCTAACCGTTCGTTATTTAAGGCGGCCCACGCGTTCGTAAATATCGTTTTGCTCCTCAGTAGGTCTTGCTGTCCCGCTGCGTAGTTCCATGCCTGCCACTGGGCAGCCGCACCCGCGGCGGTCCACGGATTCTACCCTCATGTAGGTAGAAGCTGCCATCCCTCGAAGCCCGCACGAAGGCAGCGCTACATCCTGCACTGACGTCATTGACTGAGGCCCAAAGCCAAATGAGTCTGCAGGGC